ATCTCCACTATTATTACTAAACTGATTATTTCAATAGGTTGTTGCCCCAGAAATTCCTGGACATGACGTTGACATTATGATGGCTAAATTATAAACGCTAGAAATTGCCAATCTAAGCCATTGGCTTATGCAGGACCTCTTCAAAAGGGCTTCTAGTCATTGACTTACAGATTGATCAGTGCAGATCCATCATCCCTTCTTGAAAAAATAACCAGAAAATACTTACTCTGTTTATAGTGAAAAAATTGAGTGTCTTTCCTTTCCTTAGAAGAACAGTTAGTTCTTGTTCCAAGGGATTTCAGTGCCACGTAAGAAAAATTGTCTTGTGCACAATATCCTTGGAGAGATAAAGACTTTTAAGAATTTTAATATTAGAGGGGCTGGCTTGGCAGTGTAGCAGTTAAGTTTGCACACTTTGCGTCAACAGCCCACAGTTTACAGGTTCAGAGCCCAGCCCAGACCTATATACCACTCATCAAGCTGTGCTTTGGTGGCGTCCCACATATAAAATAAAGAAAGATTGGCACAGATGTTAGCTCAGGGCCAATCTTCCTCACCAAAAAACAAACAAACAAACTTGATTAGAAATTAAGGCTATAATGCATTTAGGTTGTTTATAGGTTCTTCAAATCTGCTTCACTATCATCTGAAATAAGAATACTTACTTCAATATTAAATTTTTCCCACCCAGGATGTGGACCTTTTTCTGTTGTATAACTTCTATCATTTAACTGGATTTAAGAGATCCATCAATATGCACCAAAAGTTTATTTTCAGAATTCTTCACCGAGTAGCTAAAAGATAAACCCTAATCTAGTTTTCTGTGAAAGTGACCTCAACAGTACAAACAGTACAGGAGAAGAAAAATTCCACATTCCTACATCTGGGTTGACATTTAAGACTGCATCTGTAATGTTGAAGACAGAGTATATCTCCCTGGTGAGAACTTCGCTGTTCTTGAGTCTATGTTGAGGCATCAAATGTGATGGGTGGTGGTGGTGATGCGTTTGTTGTGTCATGGTTGACTTTCCACTCCTTGAGGAGAGATTCACTTGCCTGAAAAGTTAACAGGTTTATTTGTACAAACTCTAGTTGCACAGTGGATTACTGCTTCTGGGCTTTTATGTGACCAGCCTAGACCCAAGGTGAAAGGTTGGCCTGCAGCGAGGGCGAAGCTAATGACTCATGAAGGTCAAACATCTTCCTGAATTTCCTTCTCTTTCTTCACTTGTTCTGGTTACTTGGAAAAAAACACCCTATTGCCTGTATGTCTTTAGTATAGAAAACTCATTAGCAACATTTGGTTCTGTTGTTTGGATAGGGAATTCTCTGATCACTGCAATGGGAAGGTACTCCAGGTGCCACATAGCTGTCTCCACTGAGAGAATCTGTGGTCTTTGACATATATTGTGAGTCTTTTAAATTATTGTTCTAGCAAAGGTTTTGTAAAGAGGCCGTTTTTGTGTATTATTAATTAGCTCACCTCTCCCCTGCTGTCCTTTCACTCGAGATTATTCACAAGTAGGCAGTACTTGATCTTCTTGGGAATACATAGGATTCTGCTGCTATTATTTTTGAGAATAGTATTTATATGCAAACACATATTATCTTCTCCAAAAGGTGACCAAGTTGCTCTATGATCCCTCCCCACTAAGTTGTGGGCAGCTCAGAAGTCACTGACCTCACCGTGGTATTCAGAGTTATTACACATCAGTCCTTCTGGCTCTCATCTTATTTCTCAGAACCAGGGCTGAACACACGGCTAAATAGATGACTTTAGTCTTTATTCACAACTGGTAAGCTAAAGAAGAGCGGGTTTAAAAAAAACACACAAAAAAACAACTTCCTATCTTGCAAACAAAGGAGCTGAGGTACTGGTTGGTAAGTATCTACCTAAGAGTAGTAAGCCTGAGAAAGAATGTCTGGCTCTAGCCCTCTACCATTAATTTGCAAATTTGTGTAGTCTTTTGTCTGAGAATCGGTTAAGTATAGAACTGTTGTTCAACAGAGACTTAACCTATATGAAATTCCATAGTTCGTTCTTATGATTCTACAGTTGGTATTTGTTAAAGTAGGAATTTTATAACATAAGATGGAATGTTGGCTGTTGGCTCTCTATTGACAAAAAAATAAGACTTTTAAAAGATTATCTTTGTGTTAATATAACTGTTCTACATTTAACCAATGTCATATAAAAATTAACAAAAATTAAAATTTTAATTTATAGAATTTACAAATAACAGATGATAGATCAAGGTTAAAACTGATATTGATAACCTGGATAAAGAGATAAAAACTGTCAAAATAAACTTTAAAAGAAATAAATATAAAATGCTATATTTGAGTCAAATCTATTTTGCAAGTACTGAGTATAGGAAATCTGGCTTAACAGAACTTTGTAAAACAAGATCTGGAAGTTTTCATTGTTCATAAGCTTAAAATAAACCAGCTATAGTAAAGAAAAAGAAAGGAAAAAGAAAAGAAGAACTATGCAGCTAAAGGTTCTATTAATAGTCTTCTAATCTAGTACTAAATTATGTTGACTCTTCAACTGAAATGTGTCTGTCTTATTCTCCCACTTCATTTCTCTTCAGCGATCTTGTAACAGACTTCATCAACTGTTACCTGACAGTGGCTTCTTAATGGTATCCTTGCTTCTTTTCTCTCCACTCCAATCTGTCCCTTGCATGCAGCCAATGTTATATCAATGCATTAGGTCTGACCACATCATTCCCAAGTAAATAAGCCACCAATGGTTCTCAATAATTACAAGACTGGTTATTTTCTGAGGAATGGGACCCTTTAGTACAAATTCTAATCTTGGTCAGCTTTTCCTTCATCTTGCAGATAGCACCCGCCATTTCTAAAGATTTGTCTTTAACTCACCTGAACCATTTTGAACCACAATATCCTGAAATTGCGTTGTATTTTTACATTTCTAGATTTTACTCAGGATCTTCTTCTCTTTTCTTAAATAGTTTTTTCCATTTTGCCTTTGACCAACCACTGCCACTGATCCATGATGTTCAAACGTCTTCTCTTCTGTGAAGACTTCCTGACAGCCCTCCACCCCAACTCAGGGGGAAACCAACTTCTCGTTTTGTGCTGCTCTCCCACCGCTATTGCAGAATGTAAGGGGCTGTTATTCTCTTCTCAATTAGTTAGAAGCGTCTCTGTTTGTTGCCATCGTCTGTTCTGGAACAGATCTCATAAATTGTGTTAGAGTACTAACCCTGAGAAGACCCCTAATCTGAAAGAAGAATAATAAAGAAGGGTGCTTCACCTGTCCCATCCCGCTTTCCAACCACACACATTATTTAACAGTTTGGGTTAATATCTTTAATATTATAAAGTGTATTGAAAGATTTGCTTTTCTATTCTCAGAAGCAAGGCTTTCATGATAAGATTGAAAGTTCTATACTGTGAACCTTTGCCTCAAGGATACAAATTTAAAGATCAGGAGGTCTTTCTGTCTTGGTTTTGAATGTCAGCCTGCTTTGTCCAGTGGGCTTCTAAGTCCTTTGTGTTTGGCACATTTTAGTGAGGTGCAAAGACACGTAATTCGGGTGACTCGATTTTCAAACTACAGTGTATTGAGAGAAATGTGTGGACTGAGGTTGAGAGGACTGTCAGAAGTCGTGTTTCACAGATGCTTTGGATAAATTCTCCCTTAGCCATTCACTTTCATGTTAATTTAGAGTCATATATTTCTTGATATATTTTGGTGTTCCCCTGGCACCTAATAATGCAGTCTCCGAAGTGCAGCGCCACGTGCCAAATTTATAGGGCAGTAAATGAAAGAGGTTGGATCTACTGTCCTTCGTAATTCAGAGGAAAGAAAGTCAAAGGGAAGAAGTGTTGGCATTCTTTGGAATGTCAAGTGTTCAGTAATTGAAACATTTGGAGGAATTTCCAATTTTCCTCCTAAACAAAACTCAGGTCTTGTGCTTTCTCTAAAGAAGATGAGCATTACAGAGTTGGGGGATCCTAAAAGGAAAAAGGAGGACTGTTGGGGCAGTCTGGCTCTTTGGAGAGTGCGCTCCAACCACAAGGACACTATCTTCTCTCAGCCCGAAGCATATGAAGTTAGAAGCATAAGTAGCTGTCTAGAGAACGTGGTGTGAAACGTTTCGTCCCTTTCATTCCTCTGACTGCTGTCGTTCTCTCTACCTGAGTGTGTGGGTAGGTCTTTGCAATGACTCCAGGAGCACACTGACTTAAAAACAATGCAGAGAGAAGTAGCATCAGGACACAAATTCTCTTTTACTTGTTCTCCAGATTAAAAAAAAAAATTTAACCACTTAGAAGTAGCTATTTTCTAAGTTTACAGTATCTAATGTATGGTAAATTATGGTACCATGAATTGAGGGAAGCATGTGAAGGAACAGATGTGAAAAGCTTTTTAATACATGGCAACATTTCATACAGGATGACACTGCCCATTTGGATGCTTACCATTTTTTATTCATTGTGTCTGGTCTACACAATCTAGTTGAAACATCATTCAATGCAGCATAGCCTCTGCTTATTTGGAAGCCTTCAAACTAACTGAAGTGTAATGATCACATTTGGGGTGGTTCTTTTCTGGAGAAAGCAAAGCACAGGGAGTCCAGTTTTCAGAATGCAGAGGTTGAGGTCACCAGGAGCACCTGGAGAGTTCGCGGAAATTTCAGTTGTCTTGTCCTTATCCCATATCTACTGCAAATAGGATCACTGAGTAATGGCACCCAGAAATCTGCATTTTACAACTTTTCCAATTAATATGTATGTATACTAGATTTTAAGTATTACTGCAGGTTAACCTGTGCCATGTAGTACTGATCAAACGTGGCTCAATTCTTGGCCAGACTTGTAGACAATAATACCTAGAAGCAATAACATTTTATGAAACAAAACAAGTGGCATATGATACTGTGAAGTCTCTGGCACTGGCTGTCCAGTATCCACATATGCCCCACTTAGTTCTGGATTAGAAAATAAAGAATGGGATTCAGCCCAGTGGCAACCATGAGCACAGGTGCACAATTTGGAAAAATGAGACCAATTCTATAAAAAAAATCAAGCTAAAGTCAAAGAAGTTTAATAAAAATGTAAATCCCTTTACAGTTGGTCCCATGTTTTCCATCTCTTAATGAGCACCTGTCATCTGGTGAATAATGACCAGGCCTCTGAGAGTGAGTCAGGCAAGCAAAAAGGCCCATGGCCGGAGACCCTGTTAGGCATTTTAAAATGAACAATCCATCTAACAAATAAAACCTTGTGCCAGTGATGCAGGTATAATAGTGTAATCTCTTCAGGAAAAACAATATGCAAATAAGTCACAAAGCAAGAAGAGGCAGAACTTTTCACTACTGCCTTAGGTCAAGTTTCCTGGAAACAGGTTCAGGTGGAGATTGTGTGTGGGAGGTTTATTGGGAAGCGTGCTGTGAAACAATTCCTGAATGGGAGTGAGGGAGGCAGACATGGGTAGAGGGGCAATTTGGACTGAGATGCAGGTGCAGATAAAGCCTCAGCCAATCCCACAGCTAACTCTGGAGTTGGACTGCTCCTTGTGAGATGTCCCAAACTGAGCAAGAGGAGCTGAGTCTGTGTATCCTGCATCCTCTTCTAACCATCCAGACATTGTAGGAGGCAACCCCCATTGACTAAGGACAGTTCCAGAGAGGGAGTGAACCACGAGCCGTCAGCAGCCAGCACTCCTAGCAGCCGGGGGAATGAGTTCCCCGTCTTGAAGGAGGAATCCAGTAGTACATCCACTCTAACTCTGTCTGATTCAAGGCCAAAAATTATGGAGCTCAGAGCCACAACAGACTTCTGATCTTCCACAGTCGGCTGAATGCCCCTGACAGTCCACTGAGTGATAAAGTTAAGGAAGGAAATGATGAGAAGTAATTTGCTGAGGGACTAGGTTTGCATTTTGAGCTGTCAGCAAGTAATGAAGCAGGAATGTCAATCGACAGGTGAATCAAACTTGGGACAGAAGGAAGGGAGGAGGAAATTTGCTCCAAAAAAAGCACTTGCTTTAATTGAGGCTTGTGATGAGATAAGTGGAGAAAGTTTGCAGCAGCCAGAGACTGCTAAGAAGGAAAAAACTTTTCTTGTGGCTGGTGGCTTGGGGTGTGAGAGGTGTTGTGGGACAGAATCTCAGTTCAAAAGTCAAGGAATCAAAGCTACTTTCAAATAAACTCTTCACCTTCAAATAGAGGGTCTCTGTTTTTATATAGGCCCTAGCAATTAATAATTTTTTTTTTGCTTAATTACTGATTGGAAAGTGTGTAGGATGCTAAGAGATAATATGTTCAATTGTCCTGTTAAGAAGGAAGAGAGTCTGTCCTTGATGGAAGCAATCGGACATGGATTTTTCTGCCCAATGCAATGTGCTCTGCTCAGAATAACCTCTGACCACTGCCTCTGTGTGTTTAAAGTGACCTATGACTTCGCTCATAGAGGTCCTGCTTTTCTATTGGGGGCCACTGCTGCAAAAGGTGCCTGTAACCAGGTCAAACAATTGAGATTATAAGCACATATGGAGTGAAAGGGCTTTTATAATAAAAGGCCATTTCTGTGACTGCGTTCAAAACTGATAAAAAAAATACTTCTATCTTTAGTGTCTTCTTTGATAGTTCTCTCTCTTTTTTTGTAAAGGACACTTTTCCTTTCTGGTCTTTGAATGCATCTCAGTCTCACTTCAGTCCACAGTGACATACTGAAAGGTGCAAGAGAACTAAATCATTACTGTGTGGCGGTCCAGGAATATATTTTCTAATTAAAATCGCTCCTGAGCTGTTTGTAAATATGTTAGACTGTTCACCTAGCTGCACGTCACTGGCTTGTTTCTATCTCAGGAATGATCATCTCTTCTTTCTCTTCCTTTTATCCCCGCCTCTTGAAAAGTTCCACATCCTGAGTGGCCGAGATCTTTCCGAGTGCAGAGTATATGTAAAAGTCATCTTGATCTCCTAGGAAAAGGCACACATACCATTTGTTTTATTCGACAAGCAGTATCTTAGAGAAAAGGAGAATGGAAAGACAGTGTAGTTTGGTTAGAATGCACTCTTTTTCACAACAGTGAGGGTGGCAGTTCCCACTGTAATCATTGCTCTTAATTGCTAATTGGATTAAATCCTCTCTATTCTACCACCTAAATACTTCTAAAATGTATTCTCTGCTCTTCACTCAGAAACTGCCTCAGGCTGATCTATGGTACCTACCTCCCAGGCTTTATTACAAAACGTGTTAACTACTCTCATTGCCTTTCTCTTGGACCCACTTTGTCCATCCTACACATCGTTGCCAAATTGCTCTTTCTAAACTGCAGCCCTTTGCATCTCCCTCTGTATGAAGTCTTTCAGTGTTTCTCATCTCCACTGAAAAATAATTCATGTTGTTTAGTAAAATATACAAAGTCCTTCAGAATCTGTCTCTAGCCTACCTATCTAGGTCTTCTTTCTTGCCTGCTCCATCCTCCTTTCCACTCTTTGTGCTCTGCCTTTCTTGTACCAGATATTCTGAGCAGCTTGTATGTCCTTCCTATTCACCACAGTGTTTAACACCTCAGTGCTTTTGTGTTTGTGGTTCCCACTGTCTGGAGGAATCTTCTGGACGAATTGTGACACTTCAAGAAATATCTTTGTCCCAACCTCAGAAACTAAAATTTCATTCTGATGAATAGCTCCCACAGTATTTCCCCAGGCTATTTTATGAGTATTGAGGATTTATGTGTTGATCCTGGAATGTGCTTTCTAAAACAGAGCATCCTCTGAGAACCTATTAAACCTCTAGTTTATTTAAATACCCAGACATTCTCAAACATTGAACTTGCATTGTCTTTGCTGCAGTGTCTTCTCAGGTAACCAATGTGGTCATGCAGATTGATGAAACACCGTGCTGTTAAGACCCCAACAATCTCTACGACAATAGAGAAGATGCAGTTACTGAAGGAAGCATGACAAAAGACTCACTTCAGAGAACAGAACTATGCTCCTGAACTTGGAGTGACTGCTAAGCCACATGGATAATTCTAAAGCAGGGGATCTCTATGGATTTCAGGAATGATTTGAGCATGTGTAGCTTTTGCCAGCAGCCGAGAAATGGGAAGGCCCTTTAACTGGAGGTTTGATGAACTGAGTCCTCATCTGGGTCCGCCACATGCAGTCTGTGAGATCCTGGGGAAGTCATTTGACCTCTTTGAATCACGGTGTCCTCATGTGTAAAATGAGGTTTCGGATTTAAGTGTTCTAAAATTTCTTTCCAATGTTTTGATTAAATAGCTATCTATCTGCATCAGATAATGTTAGTCCTCCGCCTCAATCCCTTTGCATCTCTTTTTTCCATTTTTGTGGATCTCCAGCTCCAACATGCTTTCTCTGGCAAGTGTCAGTATGTTTTCTGCTTTTAGGAATATTGTTCTCAGTCTACTGCTCTCGTGCCTCTGGTTGGAGAAACTCCAGGTGCATTATACATTCCTAACCAGGCAAATTATTTCATGATGAGGCTGTGGCTACCTCTGTGGAAGTTCACCTGAGACTACACCCTTGTTTGGCTTCATCTTTCCCTGCCCTGCCTCCCCTCCCACCTTACTGGTCCCTCTGGGAGAGCGTCCTCATTAAATCATTTGCACATGAATCCTTGTCTCAGGATCTCCTTTTCTTTGAACTCATCCTAAGGTATAATTGATCTTTCTATCTATCTACCTATCATCAACCCTTTTTGAGTTGATTAACAATCATTTGGTTTGTGTTTGTGAGAGCCATTCTGGTTAGGGTAAAGAGAGGAAGAAGTGAATTGCCTACCAAATTGTGTTTGATAAAGTGATTGATAAAGATCACTTCTGATGTGGTTCCATTTAAAAAAATAACTACCAAAAAGCTCTCTTTATTAATGTATGGATTTTCTGCCACTAATTTTTGACTCCCTGTGAATGGTTTGGACTAGATTTCTCAAGTAAGCATTTTATAACGTCTATTACTATTTCTAGGAGTTTCATAAACAACCAGCTGGGCAGAGAAGTAACAAGGAAGCGCTATGAGTTTTCTGCCAGTGTTGTCTAGTTTTTACCTCAAAGGCTATTTTTTTAAAATTATTTCTAATTAAATCTCAATGGAATGTGAAATGAAAACTGGAATTTGAGCCAAGAGTACCTGAAAGAACATTTCTGGAAAAGACTTTGCTTGTGCCTTCTGCGTATGTGTAGAGAAAATCAAAACGTATAAGATAATAAAGATGGGTGTAATTGAGCCTCAGAGTGGAAGGCTGATGCTTTCCCTCACTGCGTCCAGCTGATACCCTAGAAGTACAGTTTGTTGCAATTTGCTGTCTATTGTAGACTAAGCCTTATGCACAGTTTCTACCCTGATGTTTGATATGAGTCACGTACAATACATTGAAGCAAGGTATTGAAATAAATAGAATGGCATTTCCCACTCGCTTTCATGCTATTATTTTCTCTGCAAGATGCGTTCTGGTTCCTTTTGTGAATCCTCAGATTGGGTCCTACAAGCTGCTGAGAAATGCAGCCCTTTTATGCCACCCACCGAAGAGAGTTTTTATACAGTCTGTTGTATATAGAAAGCTTGTGGGTGTGCGTGTGTACGTACGTGTGATGGGATGGTTCGGCTGACATTGTACTTGCAATACAAACTATGCTTATCACCAATTATGTGACCACTCTATTCACAAATCATTAAATTATGGGGTTTAAATAGAAATTAAATATCTACAATGTAATAGATAGTTAATTAAATTAATATATATAAATGTAGTTGTCCTAAGCATTAAAAATGGAAAATAGGGTCATTCATTTCCAAATGGCCAGCTGCAGTGCCATGCAGCTACAGATCTGAGGAACTGCGTCGCAGTGACACTGCTCCAGGACCAGAGATGAAACTCTCTTTTGTTTGCATTGAGCGACGTATTATTTTCAGAAAATCAAACTCCAAAACTATGTTTAGCTTCCTAGCTTACACTCTCTGGAGACCCTACCAGCCAGGTATCATTTGCATGTTTTATTTAAAGAAAAACATCCAGTTGAGAACTTAAAAGTCTCTTTCTAATTAAACTTTATATCTCAGAGAATTATTTCCTCATTCTGTCAACTCACATCAAAGTAAAGTTATGCTCATTTCTATGTTTTTTCTTAATTTGTCTTACTTCCTTAAAATGGGTTTAAATATTATAAGCCACTTAACAATGTATGTGGAAATAGGTATAACTCAGTAATCATTATATTGACAATAAAATCAGTAGTCAATACATAAACACCAAAAGGTTAGCTTTCCAAGGCCATGCTTTGCCATCCAAATCAGTTCTTTCTAAGTCTTCATGCTGGTTCACAAATGATGTATGCCATCTCTACAAGGTGAGAAAGTGGAGCAGGATAAATTTTACAGAGCAGATATTGAGCACTGGAAAGTTCACTGTTCCTTAGAGAAATGAGCTGTGCATTTACTGCTTAAAACAAACCTTTCACAAAACATTATTTGGGCACCAGCCAAGCAGAGGAATTAGGGTCATTGGGAAAGAAGTGGATGATTTTAGCCTTTGCCCTTTTTGAAGCTTACAATCTGAATGCCAAGATAAAATGAGGAAGCAGTTTGATATAATGATTAAGAGCCTGAGTATTAGATTTAGGCAGAAATTTATTTGAGTTCTAGTTTGGCCCCTTTTAAGTTGTATGACTTTGTGAAAGCCGCTTACCCTCTATGCCTCAGCTTCCTTATCTTAAAATATAGATACTAATATCTACCTAACAGTATTCTTACTGTTTTCATAAAGGTTGATGACAAGATGTATTAAAGGCGCAAATAATGTACGCACCGTAACTGGTAGTTATTTTCTTTTATTATTATTACTGATACAGATGAAATGATTTATCTTTTTCTACTTCAGCACACTTAGCATACCATATCTGTAATTTGTATGTTTATGATTTTCTTCCTGATTTAATGAGTCGAGTAACCCCCAGATGTTTTCAGAGCAGTGACATCCAGATTTTATAAATCTTTATAACCCCAGAACTTAATCCAGTGGCCAATGCATAAAAGATTCTTAATAAATATTTGTTATTTTAATTGCAGTAAAAGAAAAATATACTCCAAAACAAGGATCCCAATTTTTTAAATGTCTGCTTTCAAATTTTTTTTTCTAGAAACAGCATCAGTAGTAGGAGTACTAGTTATAAGCATTTACAGTAATATATTTATTGAGTAATTTAGACACCATATGGTGTGCTAGCTTAGATGGCTTTAACTCCTTGTTAATAGGTATATGGGGCTCTGGAGTAATGGGTTGCTTGATCCATATGCTATTCGGGAGACAAATTTAGTATATGGTGACCTTGTTACAGGATCAAGGAGCATAAAAAAAGGAACTGAAGTGGAAGAAATGTTTAGGTTAATGCAACAAATCTGAGAACTGACCAATGTGGCAAGGACAGTTCTGTTCCAAAAATAATCAACAATATTATTAGCACTGATGTAATGTTATGAATTATAAGCTTCAAAATTTTCCTTGTTAGTAAAAGTGCCTTTTAAGTAACCTTATGGGGTTTTGAGCCAACAGCAAAGCTTTTTTATAGAAACCCACACTTGAGAAGCTAGCAAAGAGAATGATTTCTCTGTAATAGGTTCTTGGCCTGGGCTTCCATTTTCAGTTCCAAAAGTCCTAAGGGAAATAAACAGCTGTCCAAATGAAATGCTGAAAGAATATCCTGGACTAACAGGAAATCTTAGAAGGGCATCAAAGCAAATCATATGGATGGAGGTGGTGAATATTGAAGAAGGAGACATAGAAATCTTTAGCCAAAGCAAAGCTTAAAATGACCTGTGAAACAGCACTTGAGATCGATGCAATATTTAAGGAAAACTGACCTCCTTCTCCTCGAAATCCAGGATGCATGTTTTACCAGCCCCTGTGCTATTAGTCTATTTCTTATTATTCTATCTCACTTTTTCTCCCATACTTTTTGCATTTCCTCGTCTCCTCATTCTGAGTGAGTGTAGTCAGTGTCAGGGCTGGGGCCATAGAAGGCATATGGTAGAGGGCACTGCAATGAGGAAGACAGGGAATTGTAGCTATTCCATTATTTTTTCCACCGATTTAAGTATTTCCTGGGCAACAACTAAGAGCAAGGAAAAGACAGCAACAATAATGCTAAGGCTAACTAAAATAACCAACACTTACAGAGTGCTCATGGGGATCTAATCATTGTTCTGTTTGCTTGGATTCCCCTCTAGTCTTAACAGCCATGTATGCTGGACACTGTGAGTAGAGTCTTAGGAAAATGGAGGGAAGTTTGCTTTAATTTGAAAACATAAAACTAAGCCAAGATTCTTTAGATAATGTTCATAAGGAGTTTGTGAGTGATTTAGCAGAAAGAAGAAGCATTTCCACGAGGGCTCGTAATAATGATTCCTTTGAACCAGATGTTGAATCTATCGCCTGGCTATTTTGGGCTCTTCTTGCCACTGGACTTATTGGGAAAAAGAATAGAGTTTTGCTATAATCTTGATTATTCAGAGAAAATAGATTGCTGCTACACTTCAGAGACAGGACGTGGTCGGCAACTGGGGAGTATACTCAGCAAATGTTATAAGTTCTGGAAGAAACATGGATAAACTCTAATAATTTTTTTGTTTTATTCACAAAAAGTAGACATTTGAGATCTTGTACCCAACTTCAACTGAAAGAAAAGACACTAATGTTGAGTCTCCATACAAAGCCTGATTTGCTGATTTTTCCCTTCCTCGTTCATCCACTTATTTGAGTGTCGTATAAACACAGACTTACTTCCCGCCCTCCCCCCACCGTAATTTTGTTGAGATCTTAATGGTTTATAACATTGTATAATTTCGTTATACATTATCATTTATCAATTTCTGAATAGGCTTCATCATGCTCACCACCAGTAG